ATTATTGATATAGTATAGCCTATAGGAAACATTAATGTATTTATCCAAATATTTCAGATTTAATAAAAAAAAACTTTCTATCCGCCAGAGACTTGTAGCCTATTATTGTTTGATATCCGTTGTGGACCCGGGGCAATGGCCCTATCTGCCCCCCTTTAATTTGGCCTTGGACACTATATATTTGATTAATTTGAAATATATTTGCTGTAAATGTAGTATTCATTAGAAGCAAGCACTTTTCAATAAATTATATCTATTAATAATAAAATTTATCAATTCCTAAAATTCATTTATTTTAAAATAGAATTCTTTAACCTATCAATTAACACACCTATTTTGTTGATCCATTTATACAAAAATAATATGTCATTAAGAACACTTTTCATAATAAGCAGGAATCAGAAGTTCTAGCAAATGCATATTTTTCTTGGTTTATCCTAGAATATCCAAAGTGAGATACAAATATGTTTCTCACTACTCGAATATCATATAAAAAATTTAATTTTGCTATTTTTTGCATATTTATGGGTTTTATTGCTATTTTGCTAATTTAGGTTTTATAGTGCTATTTTCGGGTATATTTTCACATAATATAGGAAATAATCACATTTTGTTGATAATAATTGTATTTACTTGGTTATATTTTTAAAAATATTTTAATTATTGGAAATAAATAGACTTCATCAAATATTATTTTATGTTTTCATTGACAATTTGATGTATTAATAGTTAGTGACGTCATTGTTATTCCCTTATTATATAATTGCATTAGATTATCAAACATTTTAATAATCTAGGATAATTTCCAAGGTAAAAATATAAAAAATAATTTAATAATAAATACATTTTTACAAATATATTTAAGTAATTTAACGTTTTTGTTAACATTTTATAATTCAATCAGTATAGACTGTGTCTAATGATCCTAACAATTTTTCAAAATTACATTTTGTTCAAGTTAAATGCATATTTTTTGATTTTTCATGCTGTCTATAGCGTATATTTTAGAGTTTTTAAGTACATATTTAAGAGCTAAAAAGTAGCATTTTTAGTGCTACAACTTCCGAGCCCTGGCAATAAGTCATATAATTTGCCTTTTCTCGAAAAAAAAAAAAAATAATAATAATATTTATAATAATTCAATTGTACGCACATAATCGAACAATTCTTGCTTTATTTTATATATATGTATATGTATATTATACATTGTAACACGACGTTGTTCGTCCGCGTACACAACTCGTATTAGTTATGCTGCAGGTGAAAGGTTCTTAGCTGCTCCGCGAGTTTCTCACACATCAATTATGACCGTCAAACAAAAGCGCACTCGCTTTTTCGGCGGTTATAATACACCCATGTTTTCCTTGCCTTTCAGGATCTACGTAGGAACCTATGCCCTTATATTATGTGTATATTATAAAATTATTCGATTATAGCGTCATCACCGCCCGTAAACTTAAATTTCCGCGTATATATTATCCGTTTATATCCGCATCGTAAACAGATGAATATTTACTACTGCTAATACGCGTAATCGAAACATATACAAGGAAACGTAATCTATTGTTTGAATTTATTTTTGCTATATAAAACCTAAAATTAAATCTGAAAGAACACCAAAATAATAAATTTTAGGTTTCACTATAAATGAATATATTGCTTGTTATTAAATTGTTATTATTCGTTGACTATATCTGGGAATTTTTTCTTTCCAATTAATTAATAACTCACCATTATCTGACTTTTATATTCAAATTTAATGTGGTCAATTTAAAAATAACACCGGGCTTAAGAAATTTAAAAAATATATGTAACAGAGTGTGGGAAAAATGTTTTAAAATACAATAAAAATCATTGAATTTTCTTGTATGTACCTAAAATTACCATAATGTACACATATTTTTCTTGAAAAAGCGCTTATTTAACTATGTATCTCGTGAAATTATAATAGGTAGTTTGACGTCTCAAGTGGTTTACTGACTGAACCAAACTCGTAAAATTAATCACAATTTACTGCCCAATTTAAAAATCTTCTCACATTCAACTTATCTATATAATATACATTTTTATTTACTTATTATATGTATGATAACTGATAAGGCGATAAGTATATTAATTAATATCAATGTAATATGTAGTAATGTTTTAAAAGTATTGATTAAAGCATTGATTAAATTTACTATATTGTATATTTAATCAATGTACCTATATTAGTTTATAATAATTTATGAAAATATTGATAATATTGATCTGCCTTAACACGGGGAATAATTTTCTTACATAATTGTACAAACGTAATTTTAACATAAATATTTTATGAAAATTAAAAATTGTCTAAGTAATATTTAACTTAATAGGGGAGCAAAATAATAAGTTTGCCCTTCAATATTTTTCCGGAGGGGCACCTCCCCCCTCGTTCATCCCTAATGCCGCATATGCTTAATATTATCAAATAATTACATAATAAATACATTTTTAAAATGATGAAAATAATAAAATTAAAAAATTTTATAATATATAGTTATTTGTATGGCTCACAAAAAAAAAAAAAAATCGCCTAAACTCTAATGGGATAAGATTTTTAACAATTTACAAGGGGCATAGGATGAAAAACGTTAAGAACTTTATTATTTACTTTATTTTTCTCCATCATATCTAACACACCGCACTATAGCTCATTATCAATTAAATCAAATAGAATATAGTGGTTTTGTGTATTTTGTGTCTAAGTAAAATATATTAATATTTGGCCAATGTCGACAAAGTTTTGATCCAAAAATTGATGAGAAGATTCTCAGAATTTATACCAACATACGTAATAATCCATATTATATGACAATATACAATGTTGATGTTGTGACGTGAAGTTATAAAATGTTAATATATTGCCCATCAATATATTTATAAGAACAAATACAATAGACGAAATAGTGTTTATATTAATTTGACAACAGCAGTACACATTCTAAGGTTATACGATAAATCATAATGTATATACGAGTAACTGTATATGAAGAATGTTTATTTGTTAAATTTAACACAATAAAACGTTTTGTTTAAATGCTTTGCAACTAAACCAATTTATTCAATAATCACAATGTTATATTAAATTATATACCATCTCTGATCAATTTAATTCTTTAATCGAGGGTTACGTATTATCCAGACAAATATACTATAATAACTATTATCGTTTTGTGAAAATGCGTTGTTGAATTCGATTTCGTTGACATTTTATTTTATGACGCTTATAATTCAAATCACATTTAAATTTTTTTTTTTTTTTGTTTGCCGCTAAAAAAATCAGAAAAAATGTTGTATCCAATCTTTAGCTGGAAATGTTGTACATTTTTTACTACAAAAATGTAACGGATTTTAACATTTTGTAAAAATATAATTTTTCTAAACTTAAATTTATTTAAGCTTTCAATTTGTTTACCTTCAATAGTAATAGTAAATTTTATAATTTTATCAGTTTTTTGTATTTATTAAAAAAATTAATAAGGAAATTCGTAGAATAACTCCCATTAAAGTTCGAGTACCAACTAGAAAATATTTCATATCAGAAATCTCCAGTGATTTTAATGATCGGAGCAACCCTTCTGGTTGAAACAGTGTATACAAATAAAAATAAACACACACACACACACATCATGGTAAAATCAATACTTTCTTCGTTTCACTCAGAATCTAATAAAATGCATAGATAGTAAACACTAAATCCGTATTAGTCTTTCGTTGTATAATTTTGAAATATAATTGTATAAGTATTATGGTAATCGTTAATATTAGGGTTTTAAAATTTTGTTGTTTTCTGCGGAGATCGATTCAGTATACAGAATATATCTACTGAGATAAATCGAAAAATAACCAATTATAAAAAATTACTGATTCAATTTCAGTTCTTATGAGGTATCGTGTAAAAATGTTGGTGTATATTTACTATCTAACCAAAATTCTGAACGCCAAAAAAATAAACCATTTTTGAAAACCATTACATTTTTTAGTTTACACAGTATTAAAAATTATGAATATGATCATATTGAACCTATTGAATCAAACCATCATAATATTTCTTTTTTATAATTTAATCTTATTTTAAAACAGAGTATTTTATTGAAAACAGTTGAAATAATAAATGTTGAGATTTTCTTTCAATAAAAGTAAAGATGATTGTTAACATTATTATGTTTCAATATTAAAAAAATACATACAATTAGTTTCCTGAGGTGTAACAGTATATTATAGCATTTATATTATTTGCAAATTAATAGTTTTATTTACATCTACACTCTTTAATTTTTAGTTCAAATATTTTTAATAGAAAACAGTGCAAGAATTAATAAGCTTATTTTTTAACTATGTATCATATGTTTCGTTGTAATTTATTGGTAAAATATGATGGAATATTTATACTCTTTAAACGCTAAACACATAGTATACAACTATAGTACAATATATACAATACACATAAAACCACTGCATACACATTATTCAAATGTAAAATGGGTTTACAATTTTTGAGTATTTCAAACTGTTATGCTAGCAAATATCAATATAAGTTAGAACGTGTGAAGCATAATTTATTTCATAAATAAACCACATTTCAATTAAACATATTATAGAACTTATTTGTAATTTTTTGCGGATATCAATCATGGAGATGGTAAACAGCAGCGAGAAAAAAATTAACATTATACAAGCTGTGGAAATTTATTTTATACACCTACGATATTATATACTATATTGTAAGTAATACGTACTTGTGTACGTATATCGTTTAATTAACTATGATATGTTGCGTCTAGCATATTCTCATATATTATTACCTCTTATTTTTGATTCGTATTCAAATTCGAATTTAAAATTATTTGACACTATAATTGTTTGCCATTCTGGCTAAATTACGTTTAAAACTCCAAGAAACTATCAGAATCACAATTAATTATTATAATTATAATTTATATTAAGGTTAATTTTCCAAAGTTTACATACAGCCATCAGTCTACAGACCGACCACCAAAAATACGTTTCTGTGATTTATCCCATTCGATGCTGATACGTCGCCAATTTTTTGCAGGTTTTATAGTCTTGTATAGCGGCTGGCGTCGACATATGACCTGAACAGATAATAATCAAATGGTTTTATTCAAAATTTCGAACAAAATATTTTATTTTTTGAAAAAATAAAATCACATTTATTTCATAGATCAATATAAATTAATAAATCATTCGTAGCATAAGAACTACGAATATAATTATTGACTCACTCTGTAGTATATGACGTCTTATTGAACGAACTATAAATAGTAAAAATTAACAGTGCAACGACACATAATTTTTTATAAATTGTTTTATAATACATTTATATATGTACATATAAGTAATTAATAATTACTTGTATGTACATATAGCATATAGCTTGATAATTACTAATTGTCAAGCTATAATGACTTTTTAGTTATGCTCATACATAATACCTTGGTATACTATATTGCAACTACACTTAAAAATGTTCCATATCCTTGATAATTCATTTTTATAAAATGTTAAAACTTAATATTTTCTTTAGAATTTTATCAATCAGCCAAAAAGACATACATGAAACAGATCAAGTAAAAAATTGAAAATAATTATACAATAATACGGAAAATAACTTTTTAACTTTGATATAAAGTTTGTTTGTTTATTTATTTTAGAACACCTTTTATTAATAAACAGATTTTCAGGTGAAATAATTTTATTATTTTTTAATTACATTTCGCGATTTGTAAATTATAAATCTTGACTTTCACTATTTTATATGAAGATAGTTAAGTGTTATTTTTATACATGAGAAACCCTTAAAGCTTAATAGAGCTTAAATTAATAAAAAAACAATGGAGAAATATGAATAGATTTAAAATAGACAGTACACAATAATATTATACAACTGAGTATACTTATAGCAGCTATAAGAAAATTAATAAAACACGCAACATTACCGTTTTTTATAGAACTACACACTATGTGCACGCAATATGCAAAGTATTCTTCAGTCAATTACTTCCGTAGTTGACCAATAACTAAATATATTTATTTATTTATTTTTTTTTTTTTGAGAAACGGCAGTAAAAGAATAAAGGAGAAAAAATATGAAAAAGGAAAACGTGATTATTTTACCAAATCCGCGGACGGTTTTGACGATGGTTCTTGATCGTTAACGGATATTGGACGAGTCTGCAGTATGCCAGAAGTGAGTTCGCCGATTGTTTTCGAAGAGGTGTACATGTCGTCACACATCACTTCACGATATTCGTCCGTTAACTCATCGAGACTGATCTGAGGAGACATATACACTCTGGGCCTTGTGCGCACGCTACGGATTTTCGCATCCGCTTTTTTCTTATTGTATTCGATCATTTTCTAAAAAATCGCGCACGTTTACAACTTACACATACTCTTAATATTCGCGTACAACACGTAATTACAACAATATTTTAAGTCTCGAGTTCTAACAACCACTAACACGTTTAACACATCAATACGAGTTAAACGAATCATACTTTATAATCATAAATAATAATCATTAATAACCATACTTCTATAAATATATGTAAATGTAAGTATTTCGATCCCGAGCACAACACATTGAAAACTGTATTATATGTATTATTATTATTATTATAATGTGGCTTGACATAGACCAGATTAGCCATATAACATCTGCATAGTGTATCGATCAAACACACGCTACTAATGCACTAGTGTGTACAAGTGAATAAGAATATTGTTTTGTCATCAGCCGTGGCTACTATGATTTTATAATCGTCTCGAGTATTCTTAGAAATCACTTAGAATCTAAATGAATAAGCAATAAAGAATGAAAATAATAAATAATATAATAATAATATAAGTCCTTCGATTGTATCGAAAAATAATTAGTTTAATCAAACGTTTGCGATTCGTGTACATTGCTTCATTTGAGCAAACAGTTGTATATACCCTTATTGACGCCCAATCGAAAGGTAGATTAGGTAATGTACGTTGTAAAACACAATGCTTTATTTGTATCCGTTCTGTATGTAATCGAATAAATGTAATTATTTTGTTTTATAATCACACGAGCTAATTTTTATGAAATTCTATAAAAATCCCAAATTATTATTTATATCTAAAACCTTCGTTAAACCAATTAAAAATCACACGACTTGTAAGTGATTATTGATCGAGTTCCTGTTGAAAAAGAAATAATTTAAACGAAATCCATTAAAATGAATTACAATAAATATAACATCACAAAGTTGTTATTTAGGTTATAATCTAACTTTCGTGATATAAACAGTTTACATTTGTTAACTCTACTGAGTCACATTTTAAATTAACAGTTTTTACAAAAAATTAATTTATCAAATTTCATTTTAAATTATGTTTTGAACAAAACTCGTAACGATTCAAACTTCATATTTGTTTAACGAGTTTTTTTTAAATTTTGTCGCTATATTCTGTAAACAGTAAAAATTATTCTAATCTAAATTTGACATATTTAATATTAATACTTTCTATTGAAAGTTTTTCAATTAGCCAAAGCTTGGTTGGTTTCAAATTTATAAAAATAATTAAATACAATCTTTCAAAATAACCGTAAATCTAAACCAGAAAATTGTTTTCTTTTTTATTTAGCTCAAATTTATTATTATTATTATTACCCATACAATAAAAATTATTTTTAAATTAATATTTTGTAATCGATTACTTTTAATATGAACTGTTTTTGTTAAAGTATACTTGAAGTAAAGAATACTTCATTGAAAAAATTCTAAAATACGTTGAATTTCAATTGTTTTTCAAATATATGTATATAAGTATCTTGTTAATTTTTTTGTATACATTTTTATAAGGTGAACTTGATTTGATTTGGATTATGTTGTTGGTTAGATTTAAATTGTATTCATTTCTCGTGAGAGCTAAACTGCACAATAGATATGACGCAATAACGATACTCTGTAAAATAACTACATTAGCATTGGATTTTAGAAAGGCAAAACACTTATATCTGATATTCATGAAAAAATTATTTAGCCTACAGGAATAATTTATATCTCAATAATACAATAAATCAATACTTGTAAATATACAGTAATATTGTATGATTATAATACTTATTTTGATTGAAAATAAGATGAAAATACAACTGGTGTGCATTGTATTATACTAGTTCGATATTCGGTGGATGTTAATATAGACGCATTCTTGCTATTAATCCATGTGTACCCAATTAATTAAAACATAATGTTTTACATTAATAATCGATTCCTGCAGACGTGTATTGATCGATTCAATAATGGAAATTGTACGTGTATTACTCAAACTACGTAATAAGACCGAAGAGTAGGAATTTGTATTTATTAAGGATGGTGAAACATCTATTTCTAAGATAATAATTCCAGTTAATATGAATACCGATATCTATGAATCAAATGTGTGTTGATAATGTGTTGAGTTGTTCATAATGAGTATTGTTTGTAAGATACGACATTTTTATATGTTTAAAACGATTGAAAGAAAATTTTAACTATAAAATCTTAATGTTTTGTATTTTATATGATTACTATAATAATTATTTATTTTAATAAAACGAATCTTTAGTCATTCTTCAACAAGTTGAAATATTTCCATATATTTTGAAAACATTAAACTGTCAAAGGTTATGATAATAAAGTATGAATAAATATGAGTTTTAACATTTATGTTACATCAAAGACATTAATACTTTTAAGATAAGTACATACATTGAAGATAGATTTAGAACAATAATTGTTATTTATTATTATTATTTTAAATTATTTAAAAAATAACCAGCATGAAAAGTTTTTGTCAAAAGAAAAATTAAAAATGTATTACCAATAAAACAAAGTCATAAAAATTACGCATAGTGCATTCGAGTCATTGAGACTGTAAAACTAAATAATATAACAATATAATATAATTATTGGTAAGTATAGTTAACAAAATGTATAAATATGCCATGGGGCTTAAATAATCGAAAATAATAAAATACTTGAGACAATATTTGCAAACCACCAAAATTCGAGGTTAAAATAAAAGAACATCAAAAAGTTATAGATTATAAATTAATTGCAAATTCAGAAGCAGTAAATAACATTCTAAACAAAAATACAACAATATATTTTGACGATATAAAAATATTAAATACGAAAGCAAATTATAGAAAAGTAATGATAAAATGAATAAAATACAGTCTGTAGGTCTTAAATATATTAGCATACTACTAAAAACACCGACAAGTTCAAAAAAATAAAATATAATAACATATTCTAACCACTTTGTTTTCTGTAAATAATTTTTATAAAACAAACTGTAAGGAAAACTAACTTGTGAACAGCCCAATTAAAACTCATCGTGATTTGTAAGTTGAAAAACACTGAACTAGAAAATACACTAGACAATGAAAAAATGAGCCATGTACAGCAATGAAACACAATATATACAATGTATATTATACATATATATATACCGTATGCATTTAGTAAAATTGTTCATTTCATGAAAAATTATCCAGTTCATGAAATGGAAACCATTTTTTTACACTTCGTGAAATACATAATTATTTCATCAACTTATCGACCATTTTATGAAATAAAAATATAACTATTATTTTTCACAAAAGTGAAGTTCGACGATGGAAACACACAACTTGGAAAATAACCAAATTTTGATATTTAAAATTGATCGTAACAAACCATATCACATGGACTTGGGGAAAGTTAATGATTTTAACCGGTACTGTTGGTGTTTTCTTAAGTAAAATAGTGCCCTTAAAAGTTGGTATTCAAATTCATTGTACTCTATTGCAGTGGTCTTCAACTTTTTTCGACCTGCGACCCACTTTTCTTACCAAACATTTTTTGCGACCCGTGTAAATTTCGTTAGCTATGAAAACCAAATAAAAAAGTTAAAACTGTTTAATGTATGCCATTTTAAAAGTGCTTTTATAACTAAATAAATCAAAATTTATATTTTTTAGGTATTTAGGAAATATTTAATTTTTAATATAAGTAATGATACTAAAAAAAAATGCATATAATGATACCGAAAAATGTGCTTTGATACACAAAAGAAATGAGTGCGATATTTGTCCCGGACTGTTTTCACATGAAATACCTCCACCTCAGCTCAATTTAACACAATGCAGTTTATAGATATATGAAATATAAAAGAGATTTATAAATTAAGTCGGGCTATCACTTAATTTGATTGTTCATTCTTTTTTTTTTCTTTTATTTGAAAATTGAGGTTTCAACAGCAAATATTATTAGCTATTAGATGTTACATATTTTATGTGTTAGGTGTTAGATTTAAAATTATAATATTACATATGAAATATTGTATAGGTGAAGTTGATGTAAATTAAGGTTTACTATTATAATATTTATGATATTTAATAATGTGACTATTTTCATAGTTTGTTTTTCGCTAAACACTTTTACCATGTTGGATGGAATGTTCAGGTCGGTGCGTATTGAGGTAAATTGTGTACACTCTTCCACTATGTATTTGATAGTTAATGATTAGTAGTATGTGTTGCATATTGGTTTTAGGATTTTTTCTAATTAAGTATGAATATTTGAGAAAAAAGTGTTCATTCTAATCTTCTAAAAATTTAAAATAGTATAAAATAGTACGGTTTCGGGTTTATTTAAAAATATTTTTATGCAATATCATATGACATACATTATATAATATGTATATATAAATATGAATATTTTAAATTTTAAACAGAAAACTTATCGCGACCCTATCTTAAAGCTTACGCAACCCAAAATTGGGTCGCGACCTACAGGTTGAAGACCACTGCTATATAAAATAAGAGAAAACGTTTTTTTCCTGTTCTAATGCACCAATACCGGAAGAAAAATTGCTTAAATACCCTTAGGGACGGAGAGAGGGAGAAGAAATTAGAATATTATTAAATGTGGTATCGATGGCAGTGACGAATGGTCATGGTTACTGATTAATATTTAAATGTATAGTTTGGCCCAACTCGTCTACGACTACCGGGTATATGTACAAGTACAGATCAGGATCACGCTATCATCTTTTGTCACCATCGTCGAATCCGTATCTTATTGAATACGTTCGTGAATTGTAATAACAATATTTCTCATACTTCAATCGGGTAACGGTTGATAGATTGCCCGGATTCCACAATAGGTTTCGGACGATAATCGAAATCAAAAGGGAACTTTTGTGAGCGCGTCTGCTGTAACGTTTCGACATCACAGGACGATTGTTTTGACGGCTGTGAACAATCCGAAAGTTCTGCATTTTTACATATTTGTTCTTTGTATTCGTAACTATCCCAGTCTATTATTCGTTGTCTCTCTGCCAGGTAAGGCCACGTGAAATCCGAACGATTAGTCGTAGTCCAATCGGACATCATTTCACTAGTGTTGTAAAATGTATCAATATTGGGAATGGGATTCGTCAAACCAAATGTTGTTGTTATTTTTGTTGCTTGGATTCAAGTACTTGTATATGTATATAAGCCATATTACTCTTCCTCTCTATTACATGACACTTAGTTTTAAATATGTGAAAAATACCGATACAAATCTAGAAATCGACCTTATGATATACTGAATAAAAATATACATTTTTATTTCATGGAAAAATAATTCATATTATCAACAAATCCATAAATTTGTAGTTTCAAAAAAATCAAAATCAACGTTTCAAAAAAACAATTCGTAGCGTATTTTATTTACTTATTTGAGCTCTGTTTCCATGCTCGGCCGTTTGTTTTTTCTAGAATAAAAACTAAATTTCCAGCAAAAAAATAAAACCATTTAAACAACCTCGGTACCTTTTGGTTTCGACGATAGGCTCACTTCCGTATCCCCCGGGATATACGTGTTACCGACCACCGACCGTGTCTGGAATGATAACTGGATAGCGTGTCTGTGGTTGGCTAACATAACAAGCAAGATTTCTCCAATCTTTGGGGATAACAATGAAATAATAAGATTGCACGGTTGAAGGTAATAAGTCCCTCTTGCACAAAAACCAGCCATGCTCTATATAATTCACTTGTGTGTATGTCATAAGCGTGTGTATCATGCAATAAATGACCGGTGAGATTTGTCAAAATATGTATTGTCAATTATTGTGGTGCCTATAAAATATCAACAATCATGTTTATTTTTTTTGCATTATAATTTTTAATAAAATAAATATTGTGAGTTATATATGAGTATAACATAATACAAAAGTATAATATTATCTTACAATCTACAGTTAAAGATAGTTTTTCCACCAACCGTAATAAATTATTAAATTATATTCAGTTACATTATTAAACCAGTATACCACAAGTTTTAAATTAACTTTATATAGTGTCAAAATAACAATAATAATAATAATAATAACATACAAACAAAATTTGTTGATAGCCGAATTTTATTTATTTAATTGTAATCTTAGTTTGAATAACAATGAATACAGAAAGACCAACCTTGATTTTTTTCAAACAAACCCTCTAGTCCTGATTGCTGATTAGTTTACCATAAATATATGAAATAAATTTTTGTTGTTCAATAATAGAATTTTTCGTAAAAAAAAAATATTTTAATGAAGTACTTATTTTTTATCTTTGTACTCACTCAAGTTATAACGTTGTGATAATACAAGTATAAGTCTTATCCCTATTTTCACTTTTTGGTTACGTTACCATGCACGTATTTAGTGTGTGCGCTATATGAAAGGGGTCTGGATACGCATATAGTACAATATGTATAGGTATGTGACGTAGGATAATAATCGTCCGCTAGTCATTGAAGCTACCCACTAATTTTTCCTCAACGTTATTGGACGAGCCCGCAAACGTGACAGTATGATAATAACACCGTAAATATTATAAAAATAGTACCATTTATTACTGAATGGTCATTGCGCGCAGGTCGACTCTTTCATATATAAATACGTGGATGTTTCAAAACCATCCTCATCCTCATTGGCGAATTGGATTAACCTTACATGGTGAACCTTTTGTCTCTTCGTGACAAGGCGCACCGAAGAGCGTTTATGGCACACTTATAAGTAAAAAACAAAAGCGGACTCTTCTAAATGTAGCAACACAGCACGCAGAGAGTGATTTTATGCGTCGTCTTAGAACGCAAGCCACTTCCCTTCTACGGGGCTACTTATGCCATCGGGGTTACATAGAATATCCCAAGGGGGAGATGTAACCATAACATCTAATTTCACTTCAGAAAAGAAGTAACTGTTCCCTACTCAAAAATATATTTTTCCGGTCACTCCGTATATTAACCAATTTTAAAGGGCAAGATTAATTTGGGCCAGATCAACGTGAAAGGCAATGACTAAGACAAAAAAATCAAATATTTTTAGAACCATAAATTAATCAATCGACATTTTATAATATTTTTTGGTATGGAATAAACTGTATCTTACCCCTGGAACATGTAAGGTGTCGTATGGCATTGCCCCCGGTACCACAAAATGAATCCACCACTGTATCGTATGGACATCTACGGGTTATATCCACAGCAAGCATCTCCGGACATACGAAATAGAAACTTTAAAGTGTAAAACATTATGAATTATATTTTTTTGCTGTTAAAAATCTAATGGAAACATCAGTTTTTTCTACATACCTTCGTCTAATATTACTCCTCACTAAAATCAGCAAAACAACGAATATCTATTTTTTTTTAGTACATAAAAGGACTGGATACTGTAAAACTCTGAAATGAAAATTAATAAAAATAACTGAGGTTCGATGGAGGCATATTAATTAGTTCACACTCATATAACTTATGTCAAATTTCAACACATTCCAACAACTAAATTTTGAAATATTTATTTCTTACGTCAAGTATAACAAATGCAAATGTTTTAAATTGTCAAAAATCGAAACATTTTTAATCTCGATTTGATTTTCAATTTTGAACTATATAAAGATTTTCTATTTGATTTTATTCAGATTTATTGCTGTTTTCACGCTATATTATTAGAATAAATCATCCTAGTAGAATTCTTGACTTTAGTCTAACTCCCCCCCCCCCAAATTCATCTCGCGTAAAAAGGATTATCGCAAAACGTCGGCAGAACAGATTTTTAGTAAATTAATGACTCATTCGTACGAGTATTTACCTCACAGTGCATTTGGCAACATACTTGTCAATGTAAAACCTCACTTGATTTGCTTTCTGACTCAGTGCATGATATATATTTTCGCAGTAATTTTTTTTGACATATACATTTCTCTTTCTTCAAGCCAATCTAACGCAACGTTGTATTATAGGGCAATTTGATTGCACAGGAAAATAGTAAGTATCAAACATAGAATGTAGCATAAGGTGGTACAAAAGTATTATTTTCTCACTTCAACGAACGGGTAATGGTCTTCACTGTTTCCAGTTTGTGTAATACATGTTTACGCGTGATACTAGTAACTCTAGGATCCAAGAGGTATTATTATTCCACACAATCGCTTATGCAAAGTGTGATCGAATGGCCGGGAAACCCGTCGTTCATTGTCGATCGGCTCACAATAAAATATTTTTGATATTGACAAATATTTTGACTCTGAGAGTGTTTTTATTACACTTCATCAAACACAATTCAACTATATTATCACGAATGCATATCACTACGTTGGTACAATATCTGGGTATCTAAATTAAACATTTTCAATCGTGATCGACAGTTACGTACGACTTCAAAAATATGTTTCTGTAATAGGTAAACAGTGGTGATTTGTGGTTTTTTAATAAGTAGTGCATATATAAAAAAAATTAATAATCAATATTAAATATATATATATATATATATATATATATATGTAAAGAGCGAACGGGAAACAATATAAACGATTAGATTCTAAACAGTCAGAAATCTAGCTATGGGTTATATTATTTTTAAATTTTTTTACAGATTTTCTCGTTTAAAATTTAATAATTTCTATAACATTGAAGTCTAGAGTAGGACTCGCAGAAGTAATACGATAGTGTGCCTGTGGCGTCGTCGTTCCAAAACAGAAAAAGAAGTATGGAGTAAGCCTATGTTTTTTTTTTTTTTTTTTTAGTTCTATCTTCTTATCCAATGATATTGTTTAAAACCCACTCTTATTAAAAAATAATATTTTTCTGCACTGATTTCATTTTAAAATTTAAAGAAAATAATAGGACTAAAATATTAAATTACGAATAATTTTATGAATAATTAATTACAATATCGTCATTCGTGAATATCGATAGAAAACATAAACACGATTTTTGTTTTTTTATTACGGTAATAACCGTTGATCGACGAATATTAACAACTGATAATAGAAAATCGGAATATAATAAATGGGTGAGAGTAAATATTAATTATAAAGCCAAAATGTCTAAAATATTCGCTTGAAACTATTTAATTAGTTATGTGTAAAAGGCAATCAGTATAATGCTGATTTTTTACTATGAATACTCAATGCAGACTATTTAAATTAAATAAACTGATTGCACTTATACTTTATAAAAGCTTTTAAATAACAAAACTTTAAATTATATCCTATACCTACTGATATTTTTATACTTTAATGAATAAATCTATTCGACTGAAACCCTAACACGGCGTAGTATATAGATAATTTAGGTACATTGGTGACTACAAACATTTTTCTGCGCCGTAATAATGCATTTGTATGTAATATAGCTGAATTGCCCAGTTATTTATATATTTTATTTTTTTTATTTTTACATATTGCCCAGCATTGCCCAGAAAAATAATTGTGATCAACTCCTTTTGGTTGTAATTTGTTATGAAAGCAATGTTCTTTTAAGTTTGAATCGTCCAAAAAAAAAAAAAAAAAATGTTTAAATTAAAGCGTTGTCAGATACATGAAATCCTTGTAAAAATAATTAAAAATGATCTATATCTATATTCAATTTTTTCTTCGAGCCCTTATTGGTCTATGTTTCTTAGAACATAAACAACACTAAATTGAAAAATTGTAGTTTTAATCAGTAGCTGTACTAACGGGAAGAGGATAATACCCCTTCACCCCAAATTTTTTTTTGAGAAGAATTAGTTTCTAATGAGATGTATATTTTTGATCACTACAACTGTAACCTAACTGAGGACCAACTGAGGACCAATTTCGCTTAGGAGAGGAAAAGGCACTAGGAAAGCTATTCTAGCACTAAGACAAATTATTGAGAAACAGAATAGAAAAAGAAAAACAACTTATATAGCTTTCGTCGATCTAGAAAAAGCTTTTGATAATGTGAATTGGAAAACGATATTTAAAATCTTGAAATGAGTCGGGGTGACATATAAAGATAGGAGAATAATAAAAAGCTTATACGAACAAGAAATAGTAGTGGTACGATGCGGAAATAGCCGGGAAGAAGCATAAATTAGGAAAGGAGTGAGGCAGGGATGCACACTGTCTCCGTCCCTATTTAACCTGTATGTACAAGAAGCAGTGAATAAAGTAAGAGAAGAAATTGAAGTAGTGGTAAGAATAAATGGTGAAAGAGTAGATATGCTAAGATTTGCAGATGACAGCGATAATAGCAGACAATGAAGTGGATCTACAGAATATCTTAGAAATAATGAACTTAATAATGAAAAATGAATACAATATAAAAATAAACAAAGCAAAAACGAAAGTCCTCGTTTGCAGCCGTAACGAAGGAACCCAAACTCAAATTGCACTAGATGGTGACACACTAGAGTAAGTAAATGAGTATAAATACTTGGGAAGTACGATAACTGAGGACGGCCGTAGTACCAGGGAGATCATAAGCAGAATAAACCATGCTAAATGTGCATTTCAGAGCAAGAAAAATATGTTTATATCTAGAAATATTGACATAAAAGTAAGGAAAAACTTAATTAAGGCTTATGTTTGGAGCGTGGCACTGTATGGAAGTGAGACATGGACCATAGGTAAAACAGAAGAAAAAAGATTCTCAGCGTTCGAGACATGGTGTTACAGAAGACTACTTAGAATAAGTTGGACAGAACACATAACAAATGAAGAAGTTTATCGAAGAGTCAGAAAAACAAGAAGCTTTCTGAAGACCTTAAAAACAAGAAAAGCCAAGTTAATTGGACACATACTGCGGCAAAACAGTCTACTTAGCAGAATAATAGAAGGTGCCATTGAAGGAAACAACAGCAGAGAGCGACCGCCACTGGACTACATTAGTCAAATAGTAAGAGATATGGACTGCAGATCATATTGCAAATTGAAAAGGAAAGCGGAGAAGCGTCAAGAGTAGAGAATTGCTGCCAACCAGCCTTTGGGCTGTTAACAAAAAAAAAAAAAAAAAGTATAAAAAATTAATATGAAAGTTTATAAACTATGAATAATCAGTCATTCAGGATATTTTCTTTTATATATACAAGTGTATTATTATTTATTTCTTTAATATTGTATTTATTATTTAAATTATTTGTGTTATTATAAATTTTCGATTTGACTAAATATTATCTTTAGAACAACTAAGTATGAATTATTAACTAACTTACAAAATTACTAGGATATTGGTTTCAGAAATAATGGTATTTTTTTTTTTTTACGTAACTATTATTAATCTTATTAACTTTAAAAACTGTATTATCGTTTTTACGCATATACGCCTTATAGACAAAACTCTAAAATAATATACCTTTAGGTATATATTCACAATAAATATCACAACTAATCCCCAATAAATATAAATTAATTGTTTATTTAAAAAAAAATGTTATAACTGTATGACTATATGACTTTAAGTTTTATACGTGCTAAGTACAAAACATAATTTTATTTAACTACTACAAATATTCTTTTATTTTTAATGTTTTGAATTTGATTTTTTACATATAGTAATAAAATATAAAACTTTTACAATTGCTAATATTTGGTGAGGGTTTTTAATTTTAAAATGCTTATTTCGTCCAAAATCGTATACTTAGACATAAAAAAAACTCATAAAACTAAGAAACTAAGCGGTGTTATTTCAAAACTAAAAGCTTTTTTGTTATGCTCATAATCTTAAAAGTGAAATTAAAAACTCTAAGTTTATTCATGTATTTAAAATTATGATTTTCTGTATCACATTGTGTGTTAATAAAACAATGTTACGACCAGGAAAATATTTAAATATCTCATTTAACTTAAATTTATAACCAGTAAATAAAATTTATTTGTTGTTATTAAAAATATGAGTTGGCCAATGCACATTATAGTACTTATTATGATGATGACATAATAAAAAAAAATAATAAATATTAAAATACATGAATACTAACGTAGGTATATTAATTTATATGAATGTAAATGTACACTGTAGTTCCCATTGTCGGGTTATGTACAAATTATTGAACTTCAACACCCAAATCTATATAGTATAATCTCCAATATTTTTACTAATTATTAATACGAAAATTGTAACTATTAATGTATCTTGTTTTACACAATCACGTACACATTTTTCACAAATTCAATTACGTTTGGTAACCATTTTACTTCATGATCGTGATTCAAATATATCATTTTTTCAACATATGATATCTTATAATATTCGATATAACGCGAACAGGTGTAAAAACAAAACCAAATTAGTATTGACAGGCACTTAACTCGACAACCAACCAATACCAAGCAGGAATAAAGTGTAAAAAAGATTTTTGACAACGTTGACGTGGGGCTATACTTTATAACATATACACTTCTACATGCTAAAAGTTTAATCATTGAAAAATAATTTTTGGATATATTTAAATTATAACACCAAATTAACTTCACCAAATATTATAAATTGTTTTCAATAGAAAACAAACTATTCAGGTCTGGGTGATTATCCGTCTACTTCGATGTATCTATAAATATCATTATAAAATTATAATTATCTATACAGTGATACAAAACAACACTTTAATATTCTGTAATCCTTATTCATATACATATAGACATATAAACATAGACTAAATAAACAAAGATAATATACAGATACTTAAATCAATATTATTATACATATTGATTTTATAGTGAGACACATTTTTAAATATGTAAAATATTTAACAGACTAATTTATATTACTGGTAAAAATTAAAACTTTATTTTACCGTGTTATTCTATGTAAATAAAATATTTAACTCTTAGTATATCTAAATATAATATTGTAAAAAAAAAAATAGTACATTTTTTTTATTAATTTTAAATTACACAATCTGTAAATTTACTTTTTCTAACAAAATATTAAAGCAATTGATTTTCTAATAGATGGGTGCTCACTAAGCTAGAGTAAAAGATCTATTCATTGTTGGAACTTTATGGAATTATAAAATTAAAATAATTTAATGAGTAAAATAATCTTCAAGCTGTTTAAATAATTTATAACTATTTTATATTATATTAATACAATTAATGTGAATAAATAAATATCATAATAATTATTATTATATACAAACATAATATTTTAATAAATAATGACATTTGATACTGTGGATTTAAAAGTAATTAGGCTTATTAAAAAAAAAATCTAGTTACAAAATAAGCTTATTAAATCAATTATTATATTTATAATATTAATATGATTTTTTTAAATTTACTTCTTAAATAAAAACACAGTAACCAACATTTTACCCAACTATTTTTATATTTTAGCTTTATATATTTTATTCGAATATTATTTAGTTATTTGCATATTATTAATACAATTCAGTAATTCAATTTTTTACATAATCCCACATCCAAATCCCTAAATACATGTTTTAACATTTTAACATAGTAACAAACTTAATACTTCAAGGTTTTATCAATTTAATTATATGAACTTCATCAACATTGTTCTTTGTTTTAGAAAGTCTATAGTCGCAATTCATTTTCTTCTTCACGTAATTTTTGAATATCAAATTTATTCATGAAATAATAACTCGGTTGTCTGCCTTTCTATAAATAAAATTAGTTATGCTAGTACATACTATATTTATATATTAATGTAACAATAGTGAAAAAATTATTTTATCATTCAAAATCACACTTCGATTATAAAAAGTATAATATTTATATGTATTATTAAAAATTTTCATAGCTTTTTAATGTAAAATATTAATATCTTATTAACTCCTGCAATATGTCAACAGAATTTCTACATTATATTTCAAATATACCCATAGATACACGAATATGAACAAATGGACGTAGCTGTTTGAACGTGGCCATTTAGACTTGGGGACAAATGGACATAAAAAAATATATATATATATATTTATTAGTTATGAAACCATTGATATTTTATGTTCATAATATAACTAATGGTATCGTATCATAATATCAAACCTTATCGAATTTTATCGTTTTGGCAATAGGTACCTTTTATATCTATATATATAACTTATTGGTTTTTACAAGTTGTAATAATTATCACACTTTATGGAAACATGATTATATACGAGACACGACAATATACATCTATAACCGTGTTAGTCGTGTGCAAATTGCATTCAAGTATGCATGTAAAATGTCATTAATTAATTCAAATCGCGATAGTGAAGTTTTCGAATAAATATTTTTGACATTAAAATTTACATATTATAATAAATATAAATAACTTATTTATTTTATTAACTGATTTATTTATATTTTTTTTTCGACGTACATTTGTCCCCACGTCCAAACGGCTATGTTTATTTGTCCTAGATCGACACACATATATATAACTATATCACTACTAATGACATATCGTGTTTACCAGATCCTTAGCTGTACGTTTAGCACCACATCCTATTAAAATTGTACTCATTACTTCCACTTGGTCAACGGACATTGCATAATGCAGCGCTGTTCGTTCAATCTGAAAAAAAAATTGTAAACAACTTTAAATAAACACTTAATATAAATTAGTTAATTATACTGTGTAAATAGAAATATTAAAAAAAAAAAAAGGAAAAAAAGTTGTAAATATTAAATACTGATTTCAAAGTAATCGTGAGAGTTTTTAATTAAATGTGTGCCCCATAAAAGCATAACTACAGCTTATTATTTATAATTATATTTTAAAAATTATATGATAATATATAAACAATATAATTTAATAAAAACATCTTAAAAAGAAAAATTGTTTTAGAAATAATTATTTTATATTCTTTTGTACAAATAGTTGAAACAATTTCTAAAATATAATTCATGATTCTTTAATATATATAAATATGTATATATTACATTATCAAGTACAGTCAATGTAGAAGGGAAATTTTTAGCTAAAAATCGTACGATTTTCTCGTTTTGACTTAACACGGCTATATGTAAACTACAACGACTTCGTTCATTTTTTGCCATAGCCAACATAACAGATTCATCATTTCGTTCTTGCAAAATGTCTTCAACTTGACTTTGAGCTCCAAAACGTATAGCTATATGGAGTTGTTTTCGCTTTTCCTTAAATAATATATGTAAGTATACTATACGTTATTATTCATTAACGGTTAATAAGTTAAGTTCTTTACCATAAAATATTTTTAATAACTTAACTTACTTCAAACATTGGTATACATTGTAATATAGTAGTTATGTGAGAATGACCTCTACTCGATGGCAATGTTAAAATGTCCTTATCGGTGTCTAAATCTAATATATGATTATACCCTTCCAATAAAAGTTGAATAACTTTGTTACATTCGCCTAAAAATATATATTATGTTATACTTACATAACTTATGTATATAAATAAAACTCATCATTATTTGATTTTAAATACTTTTTTGTCATTAAAATATAAAATCCTCATAGATAAAAAAAAATCAACGAATTACTAATACCAATAATACTACTTATTTTGAATATTTTTAAAATTTTTGAATAAATTCAAATTATATATATGTAAATATAAATAACATTATACGAGTATATTGCCTTATTTAATTTTTCATACTATAAACCTCTTTATTATTTGTCTGAATGGTTACTTTTTTATGAATATATTTTAATGTGTATGCTATTATAAGTTTAAACAATTATATAAATTATATTATATATAATATAATGTTAGTTGTGCTGAGTTGTAGTTGATTAGCTATAAGTATATTTAAAAAATATATTGAGAAAATAATATAAAATAAAATATAATAATCAGTTCGTTGCTAGACTTCGTGTAGTCTACACGTACATATGGCGCTTCACGAGTACCATTTTTAATAGCTAACGATACAGTATAATACACACTTACACACTCATTATATTACAGGTAATATGCTCGTTATATACATTATTTAGCTAATACACATATACCCAACGGGCGCAAGCCCATCTCACTAAAATGTTTACAAAACCTCCAGTTGTAAAAAGCCCCTCCATTCGTCAATCAAACAATGTAAAAAACAAAAAAATAAAACATCACCAACTACTACACCCAAATCAAATACACAAAAAATTACATTAATTTCTAAACCTGTACATCAGTTCTCACCAAAAAATGCATTCAACATCAACACTTCAGTCAACTCCATCAACATAGATATTAATAAACAATCATTCGCCTCAACTGTTACAAACAGCTTGGTACCCAAAAAAGACCAAGCATTATTAATCGATATAGACGATAACGTCCTACACAAAGATAACATCATCGCTATTGGCAATTTAGTCCAACCGTCTAACATTTTATTTGCGTCCCGCATATCAAAAGGGTGATTATGCATTTTTATATCAAGCCGGTCATTAATAAATAATTTAATCGAAAATTACCAAATTATCACAGTACAACAACAATAGTTCAAATTACGCAAACTTTTCAATCCGAATAAAAGAATAATACTATCCAACATTATCGCAAATAAATTCATCAAAATAAACATACCTCTTTGTAGCCCAATAATACCTTTAAGGGCCGGTATTCAAATTTAAGAGTTTACTCATATCTTAAAATTTCATCGACAAACGTTTATTCAACATGATGATCTAATTAAATTCCCTCCTATAATGCTTATAAATTATGAACGCACCAACTAAAGGATCTTTTTATCAAATGACACCCTAACCTGCTATTTATGTAAGACCCAAGGTCACATTGTGTCTCATTGCTCAAACCAGATTGAACTAGAGAACATATTGTCACAGCCAAATAATAACCAACCCATTATAAAAGCACCTTTGATATTAGACGTTTCACCAAATACATATAATACCCGTATAACATCTTCATCCACATTGGACACCGACTCATCTCGACATGAAACATCCAATATCGTTTCCGGGCCAAAATCGCCATCCAACCTTCCACCTACATCCTCTACCACATCAAGACTAGCACTTCTAAACTTAGATACGATTCCAAACTCAGACGTTGTCTCTTCGGATATTATACAACCATCCGGCACTAAAAGATCGTTACCAGATTCATTTCTTTCTCACTCTACACACTCATCTCCATTAGAACTCAATGAAGATTCTAACGTAATGCCTCCTCCTCAAAACCTGGAGACCCTCCAAAATGAAAACATCGAAGATAACAAATAAAAATAAAAAAAAAAAAATCTGAAATACAAATTAATATCACGAATTATAACATATTACTATGGAACCTAAATGGTTCCTACAAAAGAATCAGCGAATTACAAATATTAATAAAAAAATATTGCCCTGAAATCATCTATCTTCAAGAAACAAACTTTACATGCTACAAAAAAACACAATAAAAAGATATAAAAATTATACCAAAATAAGAACCAACGCAATCCGAGCAAGCGGAGGTACCTCTATATTCATAAAAGACTCATATACTTGCGAATAAATAGCTTTAAATATTCCACTAAAAGCAGTAACCATTTCTGTTCAACTCAAACAAAAAATTACAATTTGCAACCTTTACCTATCAAATCAATCCCATTTAACCGTTACAGACTTAAAAAAATATAATTCAGCAACTCCCTCCACCTTTCATTCTCTTAGGTGACTTTAACAGTCATAACCAATTATGGGACTGTACTACTACAAACACAAGGGAAAAATAATCGAAGTGGGTAAACCCACTCATTTTGGAACAGCTTTTGGTACACTTTCAGCGATTGATTTAACTTTCACAACACCATCTCTTGCCCCTCGCCTTACATGGGACATCTTATCACATACATATAGAAGTTATCATTTACCCATAATCATTAATTTAACGTACAGAAACACAGAAGACATTCAAGTAAGCAAATCAAAATGAAATTAAACTCAGCTGAATGTAATCTATTTACATCCCTCTTAGAACAAAAAATAAATACATTCGAAATTGAAAATCCAAAAATAACTAATTTAAATAAAAATACACAACGTTTCATAAATGCTATATTAGAAATAGCGAACTTAACAATAGGACAAGCTAAATTCTCAGGTAAAAAGCCCTCAGTTCCTTGGTGGAATCCTCATTGTAATGAATCTATTAAATTAAAAAGTACTGATTTCAATAAATTTAAGCGCACAAAATCCCAAACTGATTTTATAGAATTCAAAAAACGCAGAGCTCAAGCTAGACGTATAATTAAAGACAGCAAAACAATGAGTTGTCACGCTAACACAAATTCAATCACTTCCAAAGCAAACCCTAAACAAATATGGAACAAAATTAAGGCTATCAAATGCATCAATAAATACAATAATATACAAACCCTCAAAAACAAAAATGGCACAATTTATTCAGAACCTTTAGAAATCGTAAACACACTTGGCTCCTTCTTTGCAAAAACTTGTAGCACCGAAAGCTACCTCCTAGATTTTCAAAGATACAAATGTGCTCAAGAAAAAATACCCCACAATTTCTTCCAAAATCACGATAACGCCCATATTAATAATCCCATCACTTTACAAAAAATGGAAACAGCTCTCGGTACCAAGAAAAGTAATACTTGCGAAATAAACAATATATTCACGATATTTTTTCTTAACCCTCTAAAAAACGGTAAACTCTACCTACTCAAGATTTTTAATCAAATCTGGATAGAAAGCCAATACCCAACAACATAGCTGACCTCCACAATCAAACCTATCCATAAACCCAATAAACCAAAAAACCACGTTTCTAGTTACCGTTCTGTATCCATTATATGTTCCATGACAAAACTACTTGAGAAAAACATCTACTCAAGATTAATGTGGTATCTAGAAACTTACAATCTAATCTCAAATCTACAACACGGTTTCCGCAAAAATAATTCTTCTTTGAACTCTCTAGCAATTATTGAAAATAAAATCAAAGAAACCTTTAATAAAAATCAATACTTGGTATTAGTTAACCTCGACCTACAAAAAGCTTTCGACACTATTTGGTGGCACAGACTTATTAAATATATGAAACAATTGAATCTTAAGGGTAACATTATTAACTTTATCATAAATTACCTCACAAATAGAACAATACAAGTATCTAATAATGGTACATTATCTTCCCCATTCATTCTTGAAAATGGCAGCCCTCAAGGTTCATCTTTAAGCTCAACTCTCTTTTTAATGACAATCAACGACCTCCCATCTATCATAAGATCCACAAACAAAATCACAATGTACGCAGATGACAATATATTTTGCAAGGGCAATAATTTACTAACAATAATTTAACAAATACAAATCTGTATATACAACTTACTAGCATGGAGTAAAACCTCAGGCTTTACTTTCTCTCCAGTCAGATCACAATTCATTATTTTCTCTAAGAAAAACATCCCCTACAACTCTTCTCTAAAAATGGAGAACACAAACATTCTTCGAGTATTTAATATAAAAATACTGGGCTTAACCTTTGACTCAAAACTATCATGGCACACACACATAGCCAAAATAAAAAGGTGAAGTAAGAACCAAATTAAGTATAATAAAAACATTAAGTAAAAAAGCAAAACATTACACCGAATACACAATTCAATAATCCTTTCAGCATTAAAATATGGCTTAATACTTTATTCAGAAGCAACTTCAGCTACAATCAAAACATTAGACTCTATTCACAATACAGCCCTTAAATTGTCAATTGGTGCTTTCAAAAGCAACCCAGTTCTTAGCATCATAAACATCACAGGTTCAAAATCACTAGAAAAAATAAGAATAAAACATATATTGGAATACTCTTAAAGAATAATATCAGCAACAAAAAATCCGATCAGCGTAATATTAAGAAACTCAATAAACCAATACCAAAATAACGATTTAAACAATCTTGGCACTCGTGCAGCCACTTAAGCCTCTGACCTCAATATAATTTTTACAAACCAACTCGACTTTCAAGTCTCTGAATAGCCCCCTTGAATTACCGCAAATCCTCTCATCTATTTAAACCTAATTTTATATAAAAAAAAAAGAAACCTATTCCAACATTTACAAACCAAACTTCTTCGATCTTAAAAACACCTTTCCAACACATCATGAAATAAATGTAGATGCATCCAAAAACACAGAAGGAACTGCAATTGCAATAATCCAGTCAAACTATCAAACAGCACTCCAGATCCCAGCATATTACTCAATTTATACAGCAGAATATCTAACTCTTTTAAAAATGACAGAATTGGCTGCCATCTCAGATATTCAATATACAATCATATACACTGACTCTTTCAGTACTTTCAAAAATATAGAAAATCCCAAAAAAAAAACAACCATATATGCACCCAAATATTGAACATCCTTTTTATAAGACATCAGATTCATATGGGTTCCTGGACACAACAATATACCAGGTAATGAAATCGTTGACGAGATAGCCAAAAAGGCAACCAAAGAACCAACTGATCTCTGGAGTATAACAACCCATTTCGACATTAAACACCAAATAAGCACTAACCTAAATCAAAAATATCATCAAGAATGGCAATTAATGCAAAATAACAAACTTAGAGAAATTAAATCAACCACTTTCCCATGGTCATACAACACGTCACTCCTACGCAATCATCAAATCATAATCGACAGATTACGAATTGGCCACACACTATACACTCATGAACATTTAATGAACAAAAATAATCAACGTTTATGCACTTTATGTATCACCGCGATTACTGTAAAACATCTATTAACTAAATGCCTCCTCACAAAAGACGCCAGAAATAAAATGATGCTCTCCAATAATCTGTGTGAAACACTAGCCCCAAACACAGTGAGAACATCATCACTTCTAGAATTTCTCAAAGAGACGAACTTTCTTCATCAAATATAGCATCATCGATTAAATACATCACATTCAATTATGTATTGTTCTAAAACTTATAGTATCATAATAATCACCTGTAAACAACTTATCACCTTGTAAAAATTTAAATATGTAAATTGTAATATGTATTTTGAAACGCCAATAATCTCGGTAGTTGAGGCGTATTTGTTAAATAAAAAAAAAAAATATATATATATATATAATAGTAAATCATAATTGTTATAAATTATTCTATCAAACTATAAAATTATAGGGATAAATATCATTGAAAGCCCTGCTGCCCTATTAAAAATTGCAGCATATATAGGATAAATATTAAAAAAATTTCTGTGATGTAATTAGTAATATATACTGTAATAAATTACATTTAAATATTAGTTAGGTTTATAGATTTCATTAGTTGTTTTCATTCCCTTGAATGTTTTTAATACCTATTTATATAATATTTAAAAATATTTTTAAGTCTATAAGATATATTCGTATTTTTCAAGTGTACTACATAAATCTTATAGAAGATAAAGAAGCCTTTTATTATGTATAGAATGTACAAATAGAAATTATATTCACCTCTAATTTTGAAATATCACAAAACCACTTATATTTTATTAGAAAACATTAATTATTATTAATAATAATTAAAATAAAACTATATGATAAAACTAAGTAACCCGTTTACTTTAATCATTTATTAAATTTAATTTAATAATTTCTAATATCTTTAAACCATACATTTATATTTTGAAAATGATGATTGACTTAAATTGAACAAGCACCAATAATAATCATTATATTGTAAACAAAACTTGCATGAACCAATTGAAATTTAATTTAAAAAATTCGACGTGATTAGTAATTTAGGTTTTTGAATTGTTATCTCAGTACAGTCTAATTATTAGACTCTAATACTATACTTTATCATTGCAAATATTTTCAAAACAATTGACTAAATTTAACAAAATGTCATCTTAAGTCAACCAACATATACAGCTGAATAAAGGTAAAATTGATAAATATATTCTTAAGTAAGTACATTAACTTAAATAAATATATTAAATAATATAAATTAAAAATTATTTAAATTAATGTACTTACTCATAGTTCAACTCTAAGAATAATTTATTGCAGTAAAATGTATTTTAACAAAGTATGATGTACTACATATATTTATATTCGTATTGAATAGCGACGTGGTGTTGAGGATTTCCTATTTATTATCTTGTGTTAAAATATCTACAACAAATAAAGGGAGAAGTGTCTCAATTCCACCAAATCACTAATAATATCGTTATTTAAGATATAAAAGTGTAATTTTCTTATGATGATCTTGTATGTGCGAAGGTGACGAGAGGTATATAAATGGAAAGTAGTAATTATTTCATGTAAGTGGTCAACAATTTTATTAAAATTTAGATGACCTTATACCTATTACTACCTTGTACGAAAAGGTTTGACGGCGTTGACTCATAGGTAAAGTCATTCGAATAAGTAATATTGATAAAGACCGTATAGAAAGCGGATTAGTTTGAAATGTTTTTGATAAAAATATGTGAAAACGTAGGCCCCATGTTGTGATCTGTGTGAAGCAATTTCACAGGATCATCCCTGTGGTTGATCAAGAGTATAATAATTGCAATGTCGTTGGTGTCATCAGTGGCGAATGGAGCGAAGTGATTTTGTGAAACGTAGACTTTAGATTTTTTTTTCATTTTGACCAGAGAAAATTGATAAGGTTGACGAATTTATTTTTTATGGATTTTGGTATATGCAGCGAAACGAAACCAATTTTTTTTAGTGTTTTTTATCATAATATTGACCACAACAATTATTAATTGCACAGCAATAACGAAGCGAAAGCAATACAATACGATTAACTTATATTCATGAGGAACATTACGGTTGTATTGAATGGCTACTATTATAGGGTAACCAGACGTCCCGTTCAAAATGGGATTGACTTTTTTTTGACCATCACGTTTCGTTGTCCCGACAAACTTCGAATGGGACGCTTTTTATCCCGTTTTTAGAAGATTGTCTCGTTTTAATCCCGTTATTTCCACATTCGATAGGTGATAGTGTAAAATTTTCCTAATTCTTGATAAAAAAAATTTAAGAATAATTTTATATAATAATACATTGTTTAATATTTTAATTGTAATATTAAAAATTTAATTTTTCTAATAGTTTAAATATTATAATAGTTTTGAAATGCTACATTGCTAAATTGGTGTGTAAAAACATCTGAAATATTTTACTTAGATATAAAGTTCACTATTTAAATTAATTGAGGCAATCGCAAGTATATTTACTACCTATTGATATCAACATGGTACTTTAATAAACTTTCAATAATGGCGTTTTTATTAAAACGTTAGCAGTTATCTGATAATGTCTTACCTCTAGCTATAATATGAACCACGTATTTATCGATGATTTTCACATTTTCCCTAATATTCGAACTCATAGCAATATCTCTAGGTGTTCTATAATTTTCATCTCGTAGTCCAATGTTTACATCAAGCTCTTGCAATAATTGAAAAAAAGCATTACGGTTATGCGTTCTTGATGCAGCATAATGTATCATGCTCATTCCAAATTCATCCTAATTTAATAAAATCAACTTCTTTTATTTTCTCTAATCAATTAACAGATCAAAATCACTTACTCGACTAATTATTTTGAACTCTGGATAATAATTACTGAATAAATCCCATGGTTTGGATACATTTCCCCCAAGTAACGATCGATCATCAATTAACATACCTTGTAACTGATCGTCGGGTGACAACACCTGAAGACAATTTAATGGCGATAAAACCACAATGATGAAAATTCCAGCTAACCATGGACATAAACAAACCACTCAATATTTGATTTGAAAATTTACTGTCTATAATATTCCAATATAAAGTACAGAATGATAAATTGACTAGCATAATATATAAAAATCAAAATAAATGTATCTTTTTGTAAACGTTTTAAATTACTAATAAGAAAATAAAACGGATAAATTATATCACTAAACATATTAATGCAATATATTGGTAAATAAATTTAATTATATACTACTCCAATCATGTTTAGTTAATATACATATAATTTAAACATAATCGATATATAAATTATTCAAAGTAGAAAATGTATAAAAAAAAAAATAGTTTTCTGAACCTAGTAGATTATTTTTGGGGAAAAATATTTATTTAAAATTAAATGTGATATATATTAAATAATTATAAAATTTACATTTTTAATATTAAAATAATTTATTGATGTTAAAATAAAATCACTTAGTGGTCACAACCTAGAAATAATTTCACTTATTACTGCTTTCTAACAATCTCAACCAGTTTAATACATTTTACTATTACAATTATTTCTATTTTGAAATTATACTAACTTAGCCAAACTTACTTCGCTTTCTTGATCTGATTGCAAATCGTCGAAATGATTAGTCAAATGTTCAGCTAAATAAAGTGTGGGGTTAGAAGGTCGACGTTTTATTAGTTCATTCAATCCAGAGGTAAGTGGCTTTCCGATGGCTAAAAAATACCATAATTTACGTAAAGTTAAAAAAAATAATTAAGAAACAAAAACTTTTTTATTTGAAAACTCATATTTTCCCAATCCGAATAATTACTTGGGTTATAATATACAAAAATAATCGATGGTTACGATCAACTAAATAATAAAATCATATTACGTAATAAAAATGTTATTTATTAAAAATAATTATTCAATACAATATTTATGAATTTGTTTTAAAAAATAAATTATTTTACTTTTTGTCAATGTTTAAGAAATCATATGTTTTGATAATGATACTGAAAGTATATTAATATATCATATAAAAAACTAATATACGTTAATTTCTGTTTGATATTATCATACTTAATAAAATATAAATACAACAATAATTTTATTTTTAAATAATAATTAATTATCAAAATAAGATTTAACTATTATTTAATTAATGTAAGGATTTCAAACTAATTATTTTTTACTCGTGCATTATTTAAACTGATGAGTAATATTCTTTAAAATAATTATTAAATACATTTACAGTATTACAATACAATCAAAGAAATAATAAAAGAATAAAAAAGATTATAATAATAGTTCCTAGTTTCAACCAATATCATAATTGTTTTAGAGATATAAGATTACTTCTAAAATAAATATTAAACTATTAAATAGATTGTTAATACTTACACACATTATTTAATTTTCTTTTTGATACAAATTAACTTTATTGTAATAATATTTGATTAAATTTCTAAAATCTGAATATAAAAGGTTAACAAATAGTAATTGATTATTCATTTAAGAATACATTCTGTGAAATACGCAATAATTATTTATAAATAATAACTAAGCATTACTGCTAATTATTATATTTATTTTTTAAATGTTTAATTTTAATAATTTTAATTATACACCAATACATTTGTTGTCTTATTTAACATTAATATATATTTACATTGTAAAAAATTAATTACAATATATGAATAACATACTTGAATACTATTAATAATCTTACTGTTTCCCATATTTTAGGTAATATTATAATACTATATCAAAAATCCAAAATATTTCGTCATTAAATTTTAAAAAAAACATTATTATAACCTATAATAAAAAATACAGGAAAAATAAAATTCTAAACTAAATTCACATTAATTTTAGAGAATATCTGCCTTTTTTAAAGGTAATTTTTACATTCCCCAATGGATAATCCTAAGCAATTTCATTTAGTGCATAATATGAAATACTCATGAAAGCTCAATAAGCATATACACATTATATTTTTATAATCTAATTATTCTCTTCTTCTTAGTAATAAAAATAATAAAAATTAGCACTAATTATTCATAGTATTTAATTTTATTTTACTTTTCATTGAAATAAATTTAAAACAAAATAAATTAATATTATTTTTTGCTCTTATATTAGTATAATATTAAATCAAGTCAAAATATATTAATTAATGTGAGTTTTAAAATTATTTTAAATAATTTCAAACATTTTAGTGATAATAACATACAATCAACATTTTCATTATTAAATAACGAGGTACTAATTTTTCGTTATTAGACCTGGTCATCTAGTGAAAATTAAATAAAAATGACATATTTGGGATATTTAATAGTTATTTAATTAATAAACTACAACTTTACTAAGTATGTTTTAGTTATGTATTATGCCTATATATTTGGATTTATTGAATACCTACAAGCAAATATTCTTTTTTTCATTTACTTCAATGAGGTTATACAAAAAAATAGAAGTTCGTACATCTATATTTTGAACTGCCTTCGATTTTACTAAATTCTTATTTCATATACTTCTCACATTTATAGCTTTTTTTTTTTTAGTTTAATTTGCTTTTGTTAAAAAGCATAAATCTGAGGTCTTAAAAACATATTAACATATGAACAGTACAGTTAAAAATGATTTTAATTTTACTAATGTTTAAATTAATATTTTTTTTTTTATGAAAAACATTTATCTCATACCGGTAATCCAAGTTTAATTAACTATATATTTATAATAAATATAAATAAATATAATTAAATTATTTAGTTTTTATTGATTTAATCTATCTCAGTTTATATTATTTTATAAAAATTATTTACTACTTATATGAATGTTTCACTTGAAGTTAAAAATGTATTTTAAACACGTTACTTTCAACTAAAATTTAAATTAGGTGAAGTATAGGTAAAACCTATTTTACGATTAACTATATTTTTTGACAGTCATACCACATAAACTAAAAGTCAAACTAACATTTTTTTATTCATCGAAATAACATTGGTATGCATTCTGTGCAAATATATGTTATATATTTATTTGCATGTAATAACAACTTTAACAATTATGGGAAGTAAATCAAATTGAAATTATCAAGAATTAAAATTACTTATTATTAAAAACATTTAATAACTTCTAAAACATAACTTAATTTATTACTGTGTTTTCACAATACACTACTAATAACTAATAAAGTGATGTATTCATTTTTTACAAATACTTAAATTCATGTTATACATAAAAGGAGTATAAAATAAATTGTAATTAAAAAAAAAAAGATATACCTTATATATTAAACTAATCCTACATTCATTATTAATCAGTATTTATACATTTAATAACTTTGTATTACTATAAATTATAATTAGTTATAACTTGTATTTACTAATGAATTACAATGTTAACTAATATATAGCTAGTGATGACGAACACAATTTTAACTTGTTATTACTATCACATTATAAAAAATGTTATAAATATAACTAAGTTAGAGTTAATATTTTTCGTGTAAGAATGTATGCTATTTCTAATTTGACTATGCGGTTCTAATCAATCAATTATTTATCAATTACCTTTAGTCAAGTATTCTCTGTCTTCAACGGTAAATTTACTCGGACTCATAACCGTTGAGAGTAATTTTCCAGAGCCATTAGAAGATTCTATAATATATAAAAAAAATTATTATATTATTAAGCAACTTTTATTTTTATATTAACCGTCCATTTCTATATCACTGATTTTTTTTACATCCATTGTGTAACCTAAAGCATTGCGTATCTTCTTTGGTTCGAATATGGCGTCATTATTTCTAACATTTAACGGCGTATGGTAATCAGTTTGAAGTACCTGTGAATATTTCATGACTATTACTATGGAAACATACTAACAACAAAAGTTTCTACATGACTGACAAATCTTAAATTATTCTAATCACTTCCAAATTGACAGTCAAATTATAAGATGACAGACAGAATAACCCACAAAGGTGGGTAACATAAAACTATTAATAAAATTGATATATGACTTTAAAAAAATGATTGATAAATATTTATTTTAGCATAAATGAGTAATTTTGCAATTCATATTATTGGATCAGTAATTTAAATATATATATGTACATAAATACTTACATAAACTTCGAGAATTAAGATCATTCACTATGCATGTTATATACCTGAACTTTTTTTATTAATGAACCACTAAATGGTTACTTAAAAGACAGCTAAGATTTAACTATTGAATTAACTCTTTTCGTTACTTCAATAATATAATTATTTCAAACAACATTTAGATACTCATTATATATAATACCATAAATACAATGATTGTTTTAATTATTTAAAAATAGGACAAACATTTTTAATACTATACGAATAATATAATATAATTAAAATTAACATTTTTAAAGATATAGTTTGGTAGCCTACATTTTTCTATTCCATAAATCTGATAATAATTACAAACTTTTGAATTGATTTTAATTACCATATGAAAATAAAAATCTTGTTACACATGCATTATGATTTTAACTATTAAAAATAACTTTGAAAATCAATTTCAATTTGATAATCTGAAATATCCTATCGACGGTTATTGGGTTTCTCTTATAGAAAAAATGATAAGTAAAAATGCTGATACAAATAGTGTCCACAAATCATACCTCAAAATGACTTGCTGTTTCCAAATATTTATCTAAAAATGTCTTGTTTGGCATAAATTTCGCATAATCCACTGGGGTCCAGCCATTAGAGTCAGTAAGTTTTAAAGTTTCCGGAAAATTATTTGCTAAGTATTCAAACACATCTAATTGTTCGTAAATCACTGCTATATGCAAAGGAGTTAGTCCTAGTCCACTTTTAGACTCACGAGCTAAACAGAACTTTCTTCGATCTAGAACCTGTGTTAGTCCATCCAAGTCTCCTATAGCACAGCAACGATGAATCTGGTCAATTTTATTCTGAAAAAAAAAAATAGATTTTTTCAGATTAAAAAATAAAACATTAGTTTAATATGATACAGGTTTGGTTCTGGCATGTTAAGGTGTAATTTTCCCATCCTCTTCCAGTATTAGATGTTATTTTTTTTTTATGTTGATCTATAAAGAGTTTAGTTATCAGAAAAATAAAGTAGTAATAAAAGATAAAATATTTAAAATTGCAAAGGTGACAATTTTTTTTTCTGTCAACTGCCCACAGATATATTGACATTTTTGAGCAAATAAGTTTTATTTAACCCACACCTATTTTAGAAGTAAAATTAATGATTCAAAAGTTATAATTAGATGATTTTATAATAATAATGTATATTATTTGATAATTTTAAATTGTTACATTTTAAATATAATTTTCGTAGATTTTCCTTAAGTATTATTTTTTCTATGTATTTAAAACTAATTACAAATTATTTCAATAAAAAATAAACTTAGCCATGGTTGGTTGGTTGGTGTTCAAAGTAATCAGTCATTCATAAAACTAATATCGGCCCTAATCTGAACAGTGAGAATAATATATTAAATTCTTCAAATCAATACAAATATTAAACCTAATATAGTCAACAATGTATACAATTATTTGATTAATTCATTCAAACTATAATATTTTTCTTTACTGCTTCTCGTTTTTTTCTAATGTAATGCTGAAGTTGCTGAAGCAAAAGTTGTATCTTTTCAAAATCAATAAAAAAATAAATAAATAATTTCTTAAATTTAATAATCGTTACTCAAATTGTTACTCAAATTTACCATCCAATTAAAAATTAAATCAGTTAACATTAAGTATTAAATATATAAAACTAACTTCATAAAGAAATATAAAATTTTAAATATTGGATTATGGGTGTAATGAAGATTCTATAAAAGTATTGTTTTACAATCGTCTCATATCTTTATTTTTTTATTAAGACAAAGAGTTTCTGAACTAAATTAATAAAAAAAAAATTCTACACTACAAATTTTTTCATTAACTTTTAAGATTTGAACTATATACAAAATTTATCCTAAAAATGTTTTTATATTATCTAATTATATCTGGAGCTGCTTTAAAAAAGATAATTTTAATATCTACAATGTAAAATCACCTTTATAACGTTACTTTTCTAATTAAAAATATATTTTCTAAGGTTATTATACCTTTGTAAATAAATTAATATTTGAATAATAATTAAAATTTTAATAACTTTAATAATAATTAAATACGTACTACATAAAATGGTATTTTATCAAGGAAATCTTGAACTTCTATCATATCAGATTTTAAAGTCATAAACTTTTCATATTTACCATTCAATATATAATCAGCAATTTTATTTAAATCACCTTTATTTACAATTTTTTGAGCTGAATTTTGGCGTTCCTGAATATAAGTAAAATCGTTGATTAGATGTGTATTATAAAATCAATAGTAATATATATAAAATATAATTTTTTAAAAATACATTAAACATATAATTTGCATGTAAGTACCTATTTATCAAGTGTATTTTCCATGAAATGTATTGTGATCATTGTTATACTCATATAATAATTTACATTATAAAAGATAATTGTATTTTAGAAAATTAATAAACAATGGGTCTTTCGACACGTGCACAGAGAACATACCTAAATCAAATAATAATATCCAAACCTAACGGTATACCATTGTGATCTTGTATAAGTCAACTCTTAAAAAATACCATCTTAAATAAAATAACTATCTCGTTAAATTCTTCTATACAACACATTCTCTAGATCCTCCAAGGAGTTCCTCGTGGCAAATTATCTTAGCATGTGTACCAACTGCCGATTAATTCATATTTCATTCTAATTATACAATTTGCATTCTCTGTTTAAGTACCTAAAAGTGTCTAGTATCAGTTCATAAAATCTTATATCTAATTGATTTTATTTCAAACTTAATAAATTTAATCATAAGTGCCCAGGTAATCGACATCTCAAGACCGATTACGAGATAAGAAAGTGCTATTTTTCTAAGTTTCCAAGACAACTCAGTTGCACTGATCGGCTCTCAAACCTTTGTGACCTCTAAAGCTCTCTTTTAAAAAAGAAAAAAGTAAACAATGCAGTCCTCTATCCATACTCCTCATTACTTTATCTCTTGCCTTATTTTACTCTCTCCATCATCTATTTTCATACTCCTTTTTTATTTCATCTCTCTTATTTTTCCTATTCTTTCTTTTTGAGTTAATATATATAACAACTTAATTAAGCGGACTGCCCACCTTGTGAGTTTCCAAAAGACACAATATACATTTCAATATTGAGATACATAGGATTGATATGAGATTATAAGATTATAGTAAGCATTATAATATACATGTAATTATAGTTATTATCGAATGGTAAAATTTCTACTAGCTAGAGTTGAAAAAATTTAAAAAAAAATATACAGACTTGGTACTTATATAATAGAGAAAAGAAAAAAATTAAATAAAAAATAAATAATATTAGAATACTAATTAAATAAGTGAAAATATATAATGTTTAGTGTATCTTTAAAAATAGATAAACATATTTAACATATTTTTACAAGATCCGAGATGTTTGATCCGTGGGTCCTGAAAAATTTTCTCAGAAAACAGGATGCGGTCTGCTTTTTTAAAAATCACTTATATTAATAAACAAATTCTGATCCCGGCTCACCAATGAACACACTGAAATTATGATGAAGATAGGGGCCACAAACAATAACTCCAACTAAAGCAACTAGTTGAGAGCAAGATCTGACATTTTTCTCATTAAAAATATTAATTTAAAAATATTAAATGTAATTTTTTTTTATTAGTTTTAGTTAAGTGTATATTTTTTTATATTTAGAAATAAAATAGTTTTGGCCAATTGGCATATTGTAATAAATAGTATGTGCTTTGAATTTTTATGGCCCGCGAAAATTTCCCGAATTGACACGGAAAGTTTTAATTGGTGATCCCTGGTCTAGAATATAAATAAAGCTAATATAATTTACTTGTGGATTTATATTAAAGATAAGCTATCCACAACAATAAACATTTACATGCAGACTGTTATAATTTTTTTTTTCATTTACTTATAATCAAACGATTGTAATACAATTATAATTATTATTATAGCCATTATAATCATAATATTATGATATAAGATTATGCTATTGTTATAAATGTTAATATAAAATAATATTATGAAAATCATCACACTTATAAATCAAATATCTAACCATATTTTAGACTCTATTACATTGTAATATATATGTAGAATAACTTTAATTTATCACAATATAACACTCGTATTAATATTTGCAGTTATACTACGAATAATTTATTTATTTATATACTCGTATTATAAACGCCTGTAAGACTGAAATACAATGTACATATTTTACAATAAAATATTTAACTATAGGACATTTTTAAATAATATTCAAATAATACAAATAGCATTAGTTAATTTATACTACTTAAATACTTTATTACCTGACTATCATTAACAAAAAGTCCAATATTGTTTGTATCTTTCGAACTATTAACTCGATAAACTGGGCCACCCATAGGTAAAATATCATCCAACATTCCATTATTCAAAGCTTGTCTAACTTCTCCCAAAGTAAAATTATTAGATTTTGAGACAGTGTCACTTTTATCACAAATATCTTCTCCTTTTGATGAAGTATGCAAAAACGAATAATTTTTATCCTTATTACCAGGATCATTATTTTCTTTAATTTCATTATTATAAACATTATGATTGATATTTTCTGGTTCAGATTTTGTATACAAAGGTACATGATCTTTTTTTTCATTTTCATAATTTTTTTTTTCTTTATCTTCTTTTTTATAAACATTATCACTATTATGACTGATATTTTCTAGTTCAGATTTTGGATATAAAGATATATGATCTTTATTTTCATTTTCATAATGTTTTTTTTCTTTGTCTTCACATTTAAAAACATTTTCGACATTATTGGTATTTTCAATATTAATATTTTGTTTGTTGTTAATATCAACACTATTTTTTGTAATATCTTTTAATGCAGTTGAAGTTGGAAGAACATTTGCTCTTGAATCCTATAAAATATTAAAAATATGTAAAAAAATATTTCCTATTAATTTAACCATTATTGAAGACGCACTTCAATAGACATGCTTTTAATTTTTGATTTGTTAACCGATTTATCTTTATTGATATTATCATTAAAAATATTCCAATCCCAAGAAGCAGGAAACTCCGATGCAATTCTTGGTGCTTTAGGTAAAACAGTTAATAAATCAATTGGGAAATCGTTGATCTTCACACCATCAGACTTAGGAGTTCTTCCATTCTAATATATAAATAATATTTATGATATTAAATTTGGTTAATTAAAATAAAATTAATTTTTAACTTTAATTTTACCATGAATATTTTTTACTATAACTACAGAGGCAGTGGTTCAATAAAATAGCCTCAAAGTAACCTCCTAATACCTCCTGCTTTCTGATTGTATTTAACTTAAATTAATACTTTATAAATTCATCTGCCACTTTATTTCAGAATTATTTATTTGTTTTAGTAATTCTGAAAAACTTACAGTAAAATTGGTTTTACCCGTAGCTGTTTATCCGTGCGCGGTTGTGGTTTTTAGCCGTGGCGATAAATCGCGACCACTTCTGTAGTTTACACAAAGCGGTTTAGTCGCGCGCGTCCGCGGTTTTTCCCGCGGACACTCGCGAGCGGTTGTGATGGTTTTTACCGCCAAATTTTAATTTTTAAGAGTGGAAGACATTGTAATTAGGTTAGTCATGTAAATAACGTGGTTGTGTATTGGTTAACTTTAAAATTGTTTTTCTTAACGTATAATGGAAACATTAAATAGATTGTTGCACACACTTTTCTGAAAAAATTCGGAGATAAACATTTAATTTATATGTTATAAGAATTTTTTGGGTATAATATATTTTGTACCACCATTAAGAAACGCTTTTAATATTGGTAGGATGTAACGTATCCCACTATGTCGCAAAAAGTTAAGATTGATAATTCATTGTGTTTTTAAATTGAACAAAAAAATTTAATAATTTATTCAATTTTATATCTGATTTATTTTGTTGTTCCACATTTAGTTATTAATTTATCGGTTATATAGTCTTGTTTTATCAAGATTAGTTTTATCAAATTTAATTAAATTTAATTTGGAGAAAGATAGATGATGAAAGAAATTATTATAACCTTAAGTCCTAAAAAGTAATGCGAACACTTAAGCTGGTTTCACACGAAAAGGTTCTACCTCTAGCGATCGCGGCTCCTGAATGTGTGGGTCAATTGTAAAATTACTCTCGAAATATCATCTTTATTAAATAAATATATTAATTATAAAAAATATTCGTATTGAGATCTTTTGAAATGTTCGATACCGAACGGTTTATTGTTGAAATTCAACTTGAAATTGGCCTTCATTGACCCTTTTTAAGTTTAATGGGTGAACCCAATGGTTGCGTTTTCTCTTCAATGTGTTTGGATGTGTATGCCCTTGTATAACGCGTAGAATACACACACGGCATCCAAGTCATTTAATGTTTCCATTATACGTTAAGAAAAAAAAATGTTAAAATTGACCAATACACAACCACGTTGCTTACACGACTAACCTAATTATAATGTCCTCCTCTCTTAAAAATTAAAATTTGGCGATAAAAATCATCGTGACCGCTCGCAGGTGTTCACGGAAAAAACCGCGGACACGCGCGACTAAACCACTTCGTGTAGAAGTGAACTGCAAACGCGGTCGCGATTTATCGCCACGACTAAAAACCGCTACGTGTGAAACCAGCTTAAAGTTATGGTTTCATTCTACGGATATACACGTGTATCATGTAATAATGAAAACTAAAATAATTCATTATTTTTGATTAGTCCTAAATATCAGTATTTATGACCATCCATAAAATAACCCACCCACCATGCAATGTTACATTCATGTAATCAATAAAATAAATGTTATGTTCAATGCTTAGTATTTAATTTAATATTTATATTGGTTACATTATATTATAATTTTGATTTTTATAATTGGATATTTTGCAAAATTATATATATATATATATTAATATTGTTATGAATATTAATGATAGTGATATATGTCAAGTATTGTTTGAAGACATACCGTCGGATGACAGGCATGTAACATCAATAGATTATATAGACATAGATGAAACCTATATTATTCCTAAACAGCAGTGGCGTACATACGGAGGGGTTTCCGGGTTCGAACCCCCCTCCCCAGGACCAAAAAAAAAAGAAAAAAGAAAATTGTTTTATTATTGATGACATGTAATATATTCGTAGTTTCATTATTACGCTTTGAACTTAAAATATACAACTATACAAATATTATGATAATTAAATAATTATATTGATAGGTGTCTGAAAAGTTTTGTTAACTATGCTGTTTTTATATTCCAATAGCTATTAATTTACTATAATGTAAAAGTAAACTATAAATTGATAAAAAAGTTGTATAAAATAATATCTGTTTATAGCAGTTATTTATCTTATTTATCTGTGCAATGAAAAAAAAAAAGATAACGATTATTTTTGCTACCCCCCCCCCCCTAGAGCAAGATCGAATGTACGCCATTTCTCGAAATAATGTCATAGTTCACAAAAATATTCCACGTAGCTACCTCAACATTTTTCCTAATAAAAACTCAAAAAATATTCTTAATCAAGTTCCAATATTACTCTCGCACTAAAAGATTCCGTGCCCCAACAAAAAGACACTATTTTTTTTTTAATTGATGCCAATTGTTGCAAATTAAAATAGACCCGAAAATATTCAAGTCATTAATACTCCTGAATTCGAATTTGTGAAACCTAATTGGTCTATATCTAAAAATTGTAGTTTATCAACACCTCTATTTATGCACCTAGAAGGTTTAACCGATGAAAGTAATATATTAACTGAATACACACCATTTTCCATTTTTAAATTGTTAATTACTGAGAAGTAATTGATCATATAACTTATTATTATTATTATCAAAATTTATTATATACATATATCAGAAATAATATAAATTTATTTTCTTTGGTAAAATTGAGATTCAAACAATAAATACCCATCACAATATGATTACAATAAAATTAATCGAAGTACATGGTAGGACATATAGTATCCTACCTATGGTAAGTCCTAAATCATCGAAAAACAATTTTTTTTTTTTTTTTTTAATATATCTATTATATGCGAAACATTTTAAAGCAATTTTGTTATAAATTAAAGATGTTACATGTAAATTGCGCTGCAACTCGTTTGCGCACATTCAACATTTTTTACCTGAAAATCGACGACTCGTTTACGCACGACAAAATCAGTCGTTTAGCTGAAAATAAATAACTCGTTTGCGTACAATGACACATTCACACACATGATACGTGTATACATATATCGTCACAGACTGCAGTACAAACTATCAAATATATTATCTTAATATTATCTTATAATCGACTGTGTAGACTGTAGATTATATAAATTTGAATTTTCCAAACAACTTTCAGTATAGTTTCAGTAGGTATGGACGGTATGCTTCAATACAGTGGTGGGTAACTATTGTGTTGACGTAAACTTTAATATGGACTTAAAAATTTCTAATATTTTTAAAACTCGGCTAGGAAAATGATGCTTTAATGTTGCTAATTTATCATTTTTAATCACGCATGTTTTAATAAGGCAGCCCTAAGCCTGCTAAGTAAGAAGGAAAATGTGTACGCAAACGAGTTCTGACACAAGAGATTTTTGTCACAGGTAGCCAAAATATATATGCGCAATCGAGTTGTGTATTTTTGCACAAATGAATTGTAAAAAAGGTAAATGTGCGTAAATGAGTTGTAGTCGTAAATTGAATTTGTCGTGCAAGGGGGTGAAAATATTGAAAAATCTTTTACTGCAGAGAGTTAATTTGATCCACACATAGAAAATAATATATAAACAAATTTTGTTCAACAAAATATAATAAGCTGTTAATAAATTGTATAAATGGTATGAATTTTTCTTTATTGTTTTGTAATATCTTTGATTAATATAATAAATTTACGTGTGAGTTGTGTGCATTGTAAATTAAGTGTGAAAATAAGCGTGTAATAGTTTTTTTTTTAATTTTAAATTATTTGTTTTGATCGATTCAGAATAATAAAAATATTTTAATTTGTATATTTTATTATATTTATTTTTTTGGTTAATATTACTATCAAAATATCCTGTTTTAAAAGTAGCTTTTAATTTTCAAGACTTTGTGTACCAACGATATTATTTATCTTTAATTTTTATCTATTATATGGCCGCATATTTTTTTTAAAAATACAGATCTCTTTAATCTGACTCTATCATGTATTCCCGAAATTAGATATTTTGCTATTGACATTATATAAAAAAATTATATAAAATTTATAGTTATATGCATAAAATAAATATTTTTCTATTGAGTTGTACCATGCTGTTATATAATATAATCACAGAATATTTTCTTGATCAACAATAATTAAAAAAATGATACGCTAAAAATATACAGTACACTTAATCGTTATGATAAACCTCAATGGCACTAGAAAAAATATCAGAAAGTTAAAACTTAATATACCATGTTTTGTAGAAAATTCTTTTAAATATAATGGTATCAAGAAGATTAAAATTTAATTTGATATATTGAAAATTTTAAATATTGATAATCAACTTTATAAAAATCAATTATCATATTTCATTTTATTATATTGATGAACCTAAATACAAAAACCTTAAAACGTATAATAAACAAATACACTTCCCAGCATAATATTATTTTTATGCTAGCTGCACAGATTACATTATAATATTTGTTAATAAATATAAAATATCACTTGAATATACCTACTAGCAAAATGGTGCAAAAACTGGAAAATACACATAAATGCTTCAAAAAGCACAGCAGTCATTTAGCATATGCCGATATTCCACTCCACTACCTCTAAGATTTAATAACAATTCCATACCTTGGAAAACTTCTGTTAAGTACCTCGGTGTCACACTAGTCAAGAAGCTAACCCGGGGGCCTCACATAGCTACTAAATTACAACAAGCATACAGCGCCTCTCAATGTTATTTCCTATTCTAAACAAAAAAAATCAGTTGTACATAAAAAATGTTCAATATTAATTTACAAGCAATTATTACTCTCACTAATTACCTACGCTTGTCCTATATGGGGTAACTGTTCAGCGACACACTTAAAAAAAATTCAAATTTCCCAAAACAAAATATTAAAGATAATAACTAAAGACTGAATTTCGCATAAAATCCATGTTGCTATTTTTAACATTACATACATGCAATCAATGAGTGTCCACAAATCTTTACTTGATTGATTAAATATCAACATTTTATGCTGTATATTTTAGCATATTCTGACGTTAGTGCATGTTCTTCATATTTTTGTATATTTTAACAAAAATACCGTACAAATATACATCTAACAATTCAAAAAATATCGAAACTTCCATAGGTTGATATACGAGTTTTATAGTGGAGACGTGACTTTACCTATTTTATCTAATCTTGTTGATAAAATACCCAAAACTACATAAATAGGTACATTATTACACTGTTGCATTTATATAATTGTTGGTAAGAATTACGTTGTAGCCAAGTATATGGGGACACATTAGTGCTCTGCATGGTCCGGTCTAGTACGGTCCAAACATACAAAATCTATTGAATCATCGGTTTAGTCAAATTCAATAATGTTTAGGAGTAATTTGATCCAGTCCTCAGATCAAATGTATTATTTTCAACTCGGTCCGGTTTTAAAAAAATAAAATGAAAATCAGTCTGGTCCGATCTCAATCCGGTCCCAATCATGGTACATAAAATCTAAATATAGATATTATTATGTAAGCAAATAAAACGAAAAAGCCTACAACTTTAGGTATATAATTATTTATAAAGTTAAATAGTCCGATCCAGTGTAATACTAAACGCATCGTATGGTACGGTCTGGGCTAATACAGACTGAACCTTACCGATCGATCCATAAATGGTCCACATTTAAGATCGGACCGACAGTCCGGTCCACGGTCTACATTATTAAATGTTATTTAATTACTGGTCCGGTCCACTCTAAAAATAATATGAAACCGTCGGTTCGGTCGAATTTTGGTCTTTGATTAACGTTTAAGTGTGGTCCGGTCCCACTTCGGTCCCCTGGTAAAATTTGATATCCGGTCTGATCCTTAAAATAACGGACCATGCAGAGCTTTAGTACACATGTATTGCTTTTTTACAAGTTCGGAGAAATTTGTATTGATATTTTTTATGTATTATTATTACATAAGTTTGTATATTATCTCCATTTTGATATAATATTTAGCAGTTTATTCGTAAACAGTGTCCATTAACGATTTATTATTTCAACCAAAATTTTAAAATAAGTGATTTTTTGATTTTTCTGGTATTCGATTACAGTAAGTATACTCTATTATTATTTATAAATGGATGATCAAATATTTGCATCTTATATGTTCTTACAAACATATATTTGGATTTTTTTTTTTATTTAATTTGTTATTTCTGTAATATCTATAGTTTAACAAATTACATTTCCGTATTACATACTTGCATCTTCATTTTTGTTTTTGAAAATTTTAATAAAATTAATAAATAATTATAAGTACAAAATTAAAATCAAATATAAAATTTGATAATTGAAATTTTATTTGCATGTTTTGCATTTTTGTCTTGTTTTGACTTTTTTTAGTGCATTTTTGCATACATATTTTATAATTTAAAATGTATATAAATCCGGTTTTTAATCATCATTCTTAATCACTATTTATAATTTTAATAGCTAACAATAATAATAATATTTATACGTATCAAATTTAATTTTTTTAGACTAAATGATTATGTTTCAATAATTATGTAACTAATTATTATTTACTACGTTATTATTAATAACAAACGTACCATGGTTCATACGCAACGAAAATCTACATAAAAACCTCCAAATTACTAAAATTCAAGATCATATAGTGCCCTAGCTACAAATTTTCCTAGTTCAATCCACAAATCAACTAGCTCACTACCTTCAATTTACACATACGTCCACCACCTCAAAGTCGTCTAAAACACGATCATCCACATGATCTTATTCGTTAATTACTATCAAGTAAATTATTATAACCTAATATAATTATATTCTTCATCTATCATACATTATTATTATTGTCTATGTCTAACCATCCTAACTTATTACTATCGCTTGTCTTATTATTGTTATTATTATTATTGTTATTATTATTATTATTATTA